TCCTGCAATCAAGTTTGCTGTGATTAACCTTGAGGACATTGCAATGTATGATTTTATATACTATACTTAGATTGGACGAAAGGCGGTGTAGTTCTTGGTTTTCTAGGTCTAGAATTTTGAGTCTGGTGGCATAAGGTATTCTGCAACGAGCAGAGGAGTGGAGAACTCTTCTTGTGAAATATTTCTGGACTTTCTCAACTGTGTTAATATCAGATACATAATGTGGGTTCCAGACTGATGAGCTGTATTCGAGTATTGGTCTAGCAAATGTTTTGTATGCTCTAGTTAGTAGTGTAATATTACCAGAGGAAAAGCTACGTAGGATTAGGTTAACAACTCTTAATGCCTTTTTGGCTATGTAGTTACAGTGGGCTCTAGCACTTAGGTCATTAGAGATGAGTATTCCAAGGTCCTTTACAAAGTTTGAATCATCAACAAGGTCTTGACTATTCAGCTTGTATTTTATTTTCTGATTTTTTTGCCAATATGTAAGATAGAGCATTGATTTGTTGAGATTTGAAGTTGCCATTTGTTTGACCATTCTGATACATAGTCAAGATCTTTTTGAAGGGTAGCAGTATTGTCTGTGGTGTTGAATAGTTTTACATCATCAGCGAAGAGAACGCAGTTGCTCTTGATATGATCACAGAGGTTATTTATGTAGAATATGAAAAGAGTTGGTCCTAGAACACTGCCTTGGGAGACACCACTGTTGATAGGTACAGAATTTGATAGGACACTCCCAATTTTGACCATTTGTTGTCTGTTTGACAGGAATGCTTCTATCCAGTTATGCAGGTGTCCAGGGATACCGTAAGATTTTAATATTAAGAGTAGTTTGTCGTGTACCTCTGAATCAAAGGCTTTGCAGAAGACAATGTAGATTGCATCCATTGCTTTGCCCTGATCAAGTTGTGTAGTCCATATGTTTTTGCAGTGTATGAGTTGCAGATTACATGATAGTTTTTTCCTGAAACCAAGTTTTTTATTAGAGAGTAGGTTGTTCGTTTCTAAGTGGAGGATGATGGATTGGTTAATAATTGATTCCATGACTTTCCAGGTGATGCAGCATAAAGAGAGTGGTCTGTAATTTTCAACTAGGCTGGGGTCAGTTTGTAAAATTTTGCTGCATCCACTGATTAAATGGTCAACTGTTTCATCATTCTCATTACAGAGGCAGCATTTGCTGTTGGTGGTGACATGCTGAATCTTTGCTTTCATGCAATTTGTGGCTTAGGCTTGTTCTTAAAGCCTTGAGTTTCTTTTTTCAGTATTCCTGATTTTAGCCAATCCCAAGTAAGCTTTTGATCAGCTTTGCCTTCAATTCTTTTCAGGTATTGGCCATGCATAGCTTTGCTTTTCCAATTTCCAATTCGCTTCTCAATTACTTCTTTTTTATATTCAGCTTTTGACTTGGTTGTCTTCAAAAGGCCTCCTTTATGTACTCCCTTAATCATTGGCTCTTCACTTTTCTGGATGTAGTCATTCAAGCCATGTCTTTCTTCTACAATCTGCTTTACTTGTAGGAGACCTCAACTACCCTCTGCTCTTGGTAGATAGAATCAATCAACATCACTTTTAGGATGCAAAGCATGATTCATAGTCATAAGCTTCCTTGTTTTTCTGTCCAAATTGTCCAGTTCCATCTGGGTCTAGTCAATTATTCCTGCAAAGTATTGAATAACAAGTATAGCCCAGGTATTTATTGCTTTTATCATGTTTCCACCACTCAATTTGGACTTTAAAATCTTGTGAATTCTTCGAAATTACTTGGCTGAAGTTGATTCCTTGACTATATTATGCATTAAATCAGAGGCTTCTAAAATCCCTAAGTACTTGTAGCCTGCTTCTGGCTTCATTGCCTTTATCATTTCTTCATTGTCAAGTTCTATTCCATCACCTTCTATGACCTTGCCTGTTTTGATTGCCATTGTTGCACATTTGTCAATTCCACAGTGCATGCCGATGTCCTGGCTAAATTCTTTTGTACTTTCAATTAGTGAATTCAGTTCACTTTTTGTTTACCAAACAGCTTCAAATCATCCATGTACAACAAATGTGAAATTTTCAATCCTTTCTTTGCAAGTTCATATCCACCGTTCACCTTCTTTAAAATGGTTGACAGTGGTAGCATTGACAGAATAAATAATAGGGGTGACCCTGGAAGATGCCTCGTTTAATTTCAACACCTAGTTCTTCTCCATTAGCCATAAGCTTTGTTTTCCAGCGATTCATTGAAATTTCCATGAATTTTTGAATGTTGCTGCTGATGCCAAAGATTTCCAGGCATTTCTTAATCCAGCTGTGGGGGACTGAATCGAACACTTTCTTGTTGTCTATCCAAGCCATGAACAGATTGGTTCAATTTTTGTTTGAATTCTTCAGAATTAGCTTGTCAAACAGTAGCTGGTCTTTTGTTCCTCTTGGGTTTTGCAGCACCCTTTCTGTTCTACTGGAAGCAGATCTTTCCTTTTCAAGCATCCATAAATTTGATTTGCAATTATGCCAATAAGAAGCTTATAGCTTGTTGGCAAGCAGGTAATTGGTTGGTAATTTCCTGGATCATTTCCTTTGTCTTTCTCTTTCTGAATTAAAAAAATCTTTCCAGTTGTTAGCCATTCATCATTTTCAGGCATTTCTATAATTTGATTCATTTGGACAGCAAGCCTTTCATGTAACATTGTTAATGCCTTCAGCCAAAAGCCATGTAGCTCATTTGATCCAGGTGCACTCCAGTTCTTTATTCTTCTTGACTGCCTTTGAACCATTTCATTTGTTATTTTCATATCTTCCGTTTTGGGCACTTTCATTGTGGACTCAATCTGTTTCATCCAGTTTGCACTTGTTTTGTGCTTCTTGTCATTTTCCCACAGGTTCTTCCAGAATTTCAGAGCTTTTTCTTTACCGGGCTTTTCATTTGTTGTTACCCTGTCTTCCCTTTCCAGGTTTTTATAAAACTGGTGCTGATTTGCTCTGAACTGTGAGTTTTGTTAAAACTGGATTAATCAATTTTCGTATCTCTTAATCTTTTCAGCAATGGCAACAACTCTGTGCTTCAGCTCTTCAATTACTACAGCAATCTCCTTGTACTCCAAATCATATCTTGCAGCCAAGGTGCTTTTGATCTGCTTGTTCTTTAGCTGGCCTTGCCTTAGATTCTTCAGGTTGCTCAAGTCTCCACATAGTTTCTTAATTTTCAATTCCAACCAAATTTTCCACTTTGACTTCCCTTTCTTGCCTCTTTGGTTCTTTTGTATTTTCAAACCCAATTCTTTCGTGGTTATGTAGGCTGCTGCATACATCAGCTGATTAGTTTCAGCTAATGTAGTAATTGGGATGGTTTGCACAGCTTCATTGACTTTCTCCAGTGCATTTGCTAGTGCTTTCCGATTAACTTGGTTCAGTTTTGGCAAGCGCATTCTTTCAGTGTCTTCCATTTGATCCTTTATTTTCTCAGCTACTTTATCTTTATCTGCTGGTGTTTCTTGATCTTCACTTTTTTCTTGTTCTTTATCTTCACCAATTTCCGCAACTTCTTCCCCTCTTTCTTCTGCAGGTTGTTCTTGAATCTGCAATTCACTCACATTATCATTTTTCTTCGTTGGTATGGCTCAGGCCATTAGTTGCTTTCTTTTCAATTTCTCTTAATTCTGTTGCAGTGAAAAAAATGTGGCTCGGAATCACACATCGTTGGTCCATTAACCTTTGTTCACTGATGTCACAGTCCATGCAATTTGTCTTCCAGATCTGATACATTTGTTTTTGAAATCCACATTTTGCTGATTCAGGTTGGTAGTAAGCTTCCATAATCAAGATATTTTCTTCCCTGGTCCAGATTTTTAGCTTTTTCACTTTTTCTTCCAGTAGCTTGTCAGCCCCATGCCCTGGTTGCCTAGCAGAGGGAGCTGAGCCCTGTAGCTCATTTTGCAAAGAATGTCCAGGAGCCATAGCATCCAACGGAATCCTTGTTAATCTGGGCGACAATTCAGCCAGCGTAAATTTCATTTTTCTTGTATTCACCATGTTTAACTGGGTTGTGGAGCAAATTTTGTCTGACCCTTCACCTAAGACCTGTCTGATATGGTTGCACCTGTTCATCATAGTCCCTAGGATCACTAGGACATGCAAGCTGCTCAACCATGATAGGGTAAAGCTTCTCGGAGGGGTTGTTATTATAATAATGATAATGATCGTGATCGTTATCAGGATCATCATCATCATCATTAATAATAATAATAGTGGTAATAGTAATAAAATTAGCATCAGACCTTAGTGACCTTTGTGGTGATCAGTTCTCAATCTGGTGCCTCAAGTCTTCCAACATTGCGTCCATCACCACTGTACTCATGTTCATCCATCTTGCTGCTGGTTATGCTCTTTTTCTCCTTCCTTTCATATTACTCAGCATTACGGAATTCTAAAGAAGCCAGAATCTTCTTATAACTATTATGATAGTTTGAGCCTGGTCATTTGAGCCTCAAATGAGAAATCTGGATTGATTTATTTTACTTTCTATTTGTGTGAATGTTTGGCTATGCATGTTATTCTCAGGAATCTTCTTTTAACACCAATATTTAAAAGCACCAATACTGTTTCTAGCCTGCCTCCTTAAACTCCAACTTTTAGAGGGTTACAAGGAAAGCCATTATCTACATGATATTAAGCATTGTAAATACAAATACTTTAAATATTGCAAGATATACTGCATCTAAATATATAAAATGTTGCCTTTTGCAAATTTTCCAATTCTACATAAAGTAATCTGGTTAACTTTTTAAATTATTATTTGCTATTCTTTTTAAGGATGCTCTTTTATATCTCTTCCTACTTGTAAAAGTTAGGAATATCTATATTGATAAAGCTATTTCTAAAAATCACAATAAATGCACAGGGTAGGTGAAAAGATGAACATTAAACATTTGAGGTTATAAGAGGTAGGGATGGCTGAATTTTTCTTTGGAGGCATAGTTAACACACACTGGGTTTTCCTGTCTTTACAGCCCCAACAGAACCTTTGCTGTGCAAATTTGCTGATGGAGGGCAAAAGAAACGACAGAATCAAAGCAAATATATCCAGAATGGGAGACTCTGGCCAAGAGAAGGAGAGGTAAGTCAAAATAGTTATAATTATTTTTGAAGAAATTGACAAACTTGAAGAAAATGAGTTTTCATCATTACTAAAGTCAAAATAAGAAAAATGCAGCAAAATTCAAATGAGTTTAATTCCATTTATCTTTGATTCAGACCAGAGGCATGCGCTAGTTATCAAAAGACTTGAGACTTCAACCTGATACTCAATGAATTCATAAAAATCAATATTTTGCAGTGCTGTTAAAATAAGATTTTGTACATCATTATTGTTCGTTGTAGTTTTGATTGCATTCAGATTGGAACTAACTTAACTTACATTTTAAAGGGAACTAATATTATGTGAATCCATTAGCACAGCTCTTGTTATTAAATAATATCCAGACATGACAGAAAAACATAGATGCCATACTTTGACTGTGACAGAGAAATTAAGTTGTATTAGATTGGCTTGCTCTATTGCAGGAATGTCAAACTCAAGGCCCAGGGGCCAGATACAGACCACAATATGGTTATATCTGGCCTGCAGAACCACCCTAGAAACAGTGAAGGACAAGCCCGTGGCAGCCCGGCTCAGGCCAACCAAGTGCTGATTTACAACCTGATGGTGACCATCCAGGATGGAATGTGGTCAGCCTTAGATCCTTGGGGCTGCTCTATAGTCAGTGAGGGGCCACCCCCTCCCCCAGGTGCAATTAGAGGAAATGGCAAGCTTCTATGGGGCTTGGCATCCCTGGGCACCATCTTGCCCTGCAGGCTGACTGTGTTCTGAGTGCTTCTCTTTCACCCAGGATGCACATGCTCATCGCCCAGGAGTCTGAGGCAGCAAAAGAAAATTGAAATCAGGGAAGTAAAAGGGGGTGTCTATATACCAATATATTTGGGGAGGGAGGGAGGGAGATTATAATGAGAGGGAGTGAGGGTCTGTCAGAAGTTCTACCTTAGCACTTGGCTACCATCAGCCCTGTTGTCCTTTTCCCATCCCCTTATCTCCCCCTCGTACCTTCCTAATGGTCTCCCATCCAATAAACTTGACAACAAAACACATTGTAGTTTCTCCTAATCTGTTGTAATTGTGTTCTTCCAACATCCTTTCTTGTCTACAAGTTTTTTGTTTTGATGCTGTGTGAGAGGATGACTAAGTAGGTTTCAATTAATGCAAGAAGTAGAAAGTGAATTACCATAGCATTAAGCAAAATATATAATTTTACTCTTCACCTTACACCCAAATCATGGACCTGACATCAATTATTGCTATTTTGGAATATCAGAAAAGAAAAGAAAGGAAACAAAGAAAACAATAGTAGATCTCCATCCATGGTCATATTTATTTTCCATATATTGATTAGTATAAAATATTTACCACAATGCTTCCAGAAGCAACAAAGCTAATCTTTAAGTTGCTAACAAGAGGCAAATGGAAACAGGGTGCGTGTGTCCCCCCAGGTAACCTAATCATGATACAAATATACCTTTGTGATGCTCACTATCCCATGAATTTATTATCTATGAATGAGATGAATGAATGAATGAATGGTCAAGTATGTTTAGACATACAAGGAATTTGTCTTGGTGTATATGCTCTCAGTGTATATAAAAAGAAAAGATACATTCGTCAAGAATCATAAGGTATGACACTTAATACAGTCATAGGGTACAAATCATACTAGGAAACAGTCAATATAAATTGTAAGGATACAAGCAACCAAGTTTCAGTCATACAGTCATAAGTGGGAGAGGATGGCTGATAGGAGTGATGAGTGATTGATAGATTTAATCAAATTTTAATCAAATTTTATTAGAGTGTTTTCTCATTTATGCCATCAGTTAAATTTTCTTATCAAGCTTTACTTGATGTGAAAGTTAATTTGGCACCATTGGCACTGAATTTTTCACTTGATAATTTATGTCAACTCTGACTGGAAAAATAGTGGAATTAAAAGACAAAAATTAAAACAATACATTAAATATTTTGATGTCGTAAAATTTTAAAATATGTTACATTTTGGGCTATTTTGCAGCAAAATTGTAACAGCAGTTGCAACTAAGATCAGAATAATGTTTATTGCCAATTCCATGAAGATTTGAGCACCTTTGCCTCTGGTCCCAAGTCAGCTCATGCCATTCTTCTTTTGCTGCACTTCTTGTTGCACTGGTATATTTGGTGACTATCTCCCATAATGTAGGGAAGGAGAGCAGTCACATAAGATCAGAACAGTACCAATTTATGTTCCCAAGATGACTACTGCATGCTAAAAGCTTTTCTTTTCTCTTACCCATGATTTGCTGATTTTACTGTCAATGCTGGTTCTCTGGCAGTGCAGCATTTGAATGGGAGCATTTAGGAATAACCAAAGACAACTTTTGAATAACCATGGATCCAGTGGGGAAAGAGAGTCATGAACATTCTAGTTCCCTCTGGAAGCAATTGAAAAGTCATTGGGCATATACATGTTCCTGCTATCAGATTCGTTTTCTTAATCAATGCCTTGAATCTTGACTTTCACTTTTGAATTTATTTATTTATGTATTTATTTAGCTTGTTTATTTATCTTTGCTTTAAAATTGGATTAGCAGCTGAACATTGATTTATTTCAATCCCTTTCTGGACTTTTTTTCTTCCCCCCTCTCCCTTGGTGTATGTTGTTTTGCATAACTTTGATTCCTTCCATAAGGAAGCATGACACACTTTAGCTGAAGACCTTTTATTTGACTTCTTTCAAAATTAGACTTTCATCACAGAATTTTTGTACTTTTTGAATTTATAAAATATTTGGAATTTATCTTTTTTAAAAAAAAAATTAACCTTGGATTGAAATATACAGAAAAATTTAGAAAACATCCTGTAAGCACTGGACTCAGGAAGCTTTGCAGTTGTTTGCGAGTATGGGGCGGCTCCCAATCGATGACAGGTTTTATTTTTTGTGGGTCCACCTCTATTTCCTCGTGGGATATTCTATATCCCAGGTAGTAAATTTTTTCTTGGTGGATTTCACATTTAGAGAGTTTTGCATATAGTTTGGCATTTTGGAGTTTTGTGAGAACTGCTCAGAGTAATTTGATGTGTTCTGCTTTTGTTTCAATGTAGATTAAAATATCATGAAGATAAACGAGAACCCCTTTGTACAAAAATTCATGGAGGGTCTCCTTAATTAATTGCATGAACACAGGAGGGGCTCCTTGTAATCCAAAAGGGAGCACTTTAAATTGGTAGCATCCCAGTGAGGTGTTAAAAGCCATTTTCTAATCACCCCCTTCCCTTATTCTAATGCCTCTCGTAAGCCTAACTTCAATTTTTTTTTTTCCTTTAGAGAGGTGAGCCAACATGTCCTTCATGAGCGGGAGTGGGTACATATTTTCCACACTGATGGCATTAAGATTTTTGTAATTAACACATAGATGCACCGAACCATCTTTCCCTTCACAGAATAATACTGGGGCTGCTATTTTTGGTTGGGTAGGTTCGAAGAAACCACTTTGTAGATTTTTATCGATAAATGCCCTGAGTTCTTTTAATTCTCTGAGGGACATGCAGTTCATTTTCAGTTTTGGAAGTTTAGCCCCTGGTAGGATTTCAATGGTGCAGTCTGTGGCATGATGGGGTGGGAGTTCATCAGAAGCTTCCTTGATAAATTCTTGCGCTAAATCCTGGTACTCTTGGGGATGTTAAGGGGTTCAGCAAGCTGACCGGCCATGTCTGTTTCTCTGTTCTCTCTTCTTTTCTTTTCCTCTGGGCTGTTTGCAAATGCTACATGTTTCTGGAAATGTACGGTTCCTCCCTTCCTGTTTATTTTTGGATTCCATTTCCATAGCCACGTGAGTCCTAGTACTAGTGGCCCTTCCATTCCTGGGGCTACAATGAATGTGAGCATCTCACTATGGTTCCCTAGTCTTATTTTCAATAGTTCTGTGGCAAAACTGGCTGGCTCCCCCCCACCACTATAGTTCTATCTAATTGGCAAAAAGCAATGGGATTTTCCATTTTCTTTAGTTGGATTCCCATTTTCTCTGCTAGGATGGGGTTGATTAGGCACCGGGTGCATCCCGAATCCAGTAATGCTGCAACTTCCTCCCCCTTCCCTCAGCTGGGGATAAACAGTCTTAGGGGAAGAGTGATTGGTTCAATTGGGTCACTTACCAGCGGATCATCTTCCGGATTGCTTTCAGACTGGCTCAGGTCTCCTCAGGGCATTGGGGGTTCTTCCTCTGGGTTGGGGGGACCAGAACCTCACAGCCTCTTGGCTTCTCAGGCCAGTTTCTTTTCCCTGAGGGTTGGGTTTTCTGGGTTTCCCCCCGATGGGGTCTGGCTTTCTGACAGGGGTGTTTGAATGGCATTCTGCTGCATGGTGTCCCTCTTTTCCACACTTAAAGCAGCCAGCTGGTCTTGGGGTCATGGTGCTTTGGGGTTTGAAAAATTCCTGCTTTCCCTGGGGTGGGGATCTTCTCCAAAGTTTGCCATTGTGGTAGTGGTTTTGGGTCATGTCTATCTCCGCCTCCTCTGCCATCAGATACCATTCATGCAGGAGGTTTGGGGCCCCACGGGCCAGGCAGGCAGCATACTGGTTGTCATTGAGTCATCTTTGAACCAACAGACTAGGATATCTTCTGACCAGTCGACTCAGCTGGCCAGGTCACGAAATTCCTCGATGTACTCAGTAACCTGGTGACGGCTGTGCTTTACGACTGTAATGTGGTTGTGGGCTTTTCTATCAGCAAGGGGGTCTTCAAAGTGGTGGCCTAGGGCTGTCATGAATCGGTCTAGGTTCCTCAGTTCTGGGGCATTGACATTGTGGAGCATCACCATCCATCTGGATGCTGCCCTTTCTAGGGCCAGGGTGACAACTCGCACTCAGGGCCCCTGGCTTGGGAAATTCTGCCCGTATTCTTGCATGTAGGTGAGGACTTGTGCCAGGAAAAATCCCAGTTTCTGGGGGTCCTCATCGAATTTTACCCCCAAGGGTGGAAACTTTCTCTGCAGTTGTATGTCTCTGGGTTGGTTAATCTCCTGCTGTAGGGTGA